CTCTCTCTCTCTCTCTCTCTCTCTCTCTAAAATGCTTATAATGAACTGAGACACATGCTAAACAAGACAAAGATGACAGAAAGAGGGAGAACGCCCATTGAGGCAGAATGTGTTTTTGCTCGGAGACAGGTGAGTCTGTACAGCATTTCATTAGATCCACTGATTAGATTGAAGTAGCTCAACCCTCTCAATTCACATATTCGACACCATGAAGGTCATGTTTAAGCACATTTTAAATTATCTTCACACTGAAGAGTACACACATCTCTAGGCTAGCATTACTGTGATAATATGGCTGTAATGATGCATTTCCTTTCCCATTTGCACTAAACCGTACAGTCAGAACTAGACTTCAAACTCGATGGACCATTATGAAAGAATTCTGCATATTTGCGACCAAAAGCAAGCATCAGATGCACAGACGACAGGGACCCGATGAGACAGGAAGCAGATGGAGGGGACAAAGAGCATGCTGAGAGGAGGAGCGGGACAGAAGTGACCGAATTAATATCGGAAAGTAATTACTTTATTAACGGGGGGGGGGGGGGAGATTATTCAAGCAGATCTAAAAATGTTGACTTTCGGAGGCAGTGTCAAGCATCATAATTTCCCAATCAAGCATTTTTTCCTGTCTTGAAATCCTCCTAATTGATATTCAGTTCATTGCAAACACACATACACATTTATATTTGCTTCTGTGGTTATGAATGTACAGTATGTTCTATCAGCTCTGTGTTCTGAACAAACTTACTTTACATTCCCTCAGGTCAACAAGGTTTACATTTCATTAAAAGTTTAGAATTGTTATTTCTCAATTTTGATTTTTTTTTTTTTTTTTTTTAACACATAAGAAGCTCAGTAATTGGATTCTGGAAAACAGTGCTGGGGCATCTGTTCCTCTGGCAGCCGGTTGGAAAACCACAGTATGTCAGAGAAAGAGCTGCTATTCGTACACTGCATTCATCTTTCAGCCTCACGCGTCAAAACGACAACTACGGCGAAGCATGAATGAACAGGACAAGGCAGTTATCTACATTTATGATTGCCGGCGGTTCGGATTGAGGCATGTGTGTTTGCGCTGGGGGCAGGGGAGAGTGGGCGATAGGGACAGTGCTATGTTTGGCATGCAGCTGAGGCCCCTCAGGGCCGTCACTCCCACCCTCTGCCTCATTGTATCGTTCTTGCATAATGCTGCACTTACAATAACAAAAAACCCTTGTAACTCCAAATTTAGTAATTTCCATGTTTTCACTTCAATTAGATTGTTAGGATTACACGCTCTTTGAGAAAATGCTTCAACCGCTGGGCTTTTGAGGACCTTTTTCGAAAATGAATTACTTTAAACAAGCATGCTTGCCGAGGCACAAAACAAGGTTGATTTTCTTACTGTAGCTCCGGAAAATGTGTCATTTTTTTCACCCGACTGCAGCAGTAAAGCTGAGCGTCAGCCTCCTGTATCCAGCTACTGACGACTTGCTGTGAGTGTGGCTGTGGTTGTGTGGGGGGGGTTTTAAGATCTGCTTAACTCTGCAGTCATCGCCTTTGAAGATGCTTCCAGCTCTGGGCTGGGGAAGCTCAGAGCCAGGGGGACAACTCTGAGATGGAAGCGTTCAACCTACATCCCTGGGTAATTGCGCAACACCAATATCAGCTTGGCATGTTGTGGTGGGGGGCCGAGTGAAGCATATGTCTGCCTCTGTGTGACACCAGGGAGTTATGCTGGGCATAGCGGGCTTAAATTGGCTTATCGGCCTCAGGATATTGGGTTGGCATGAGCCAGTGAGTGAGCATTCCCTTTCTACTTTGTGTTCATCATACACAACAACAGACAACAGACAACAAATGGCTTTCCATGTCGACACCAGCCATTACAAACTAGCCTGAATCTGTAGGTTTCATTAGTCTCAATTTTGTCTTTGGTTGCCTGCTGAAGGAATAAGGAGGTATAAACATGCAGAATGAAGACGTCAGTATTCAAACTATGCGCTCCCATTTGAGCAGCTCTTCAGCAGAGGCACTGCTGCGTAGCAGAGAAGCAACGCAAATGAGTAACAATTAGTGCTGAATGAAAAAGAGGCTGGAGAAGACAAGCCACAGGATTTTCTTGATTCGAAGCAGATTCTCTCCTAACGATCTTATTAGGCTGAATTTTGTCCTCACCCCTAATAAGGCCGGACCTCTTACATCGAGCACCCTTTTCAAAAACGCTTAAACGGACGAAACGCTTCAATTCCATCCTATCTTCTCTAGTTTTGCAATCCCTCCAACCTGACATCACTAACACTCTCCTACTCTCGACTGATGTTTACGCGCTCTGTCCTCTTTTCTCCTGTAGCCTTTTGTTTGTGTGGCTGGCTGATTGTTTTCACCTGCCCACTGACATGATAACTACTCGGTGCTGACTCACCGATGATGGCCTGTTCTATCGACAGCAGCCACTGCTGTTGGTGTTGATGGAGATGCTGCTGCAGCAGCCGGATACTGTGTTTGTGTCGTATTTTTCTTATTAAAATTAAAGAAACATGCAAGTAACTTGTGTCTAATACAGTCATTTTCCTCGCAGTAGCATGCGTATCCTGCTTTGTTTCATTTTGAGATATATATATATATATATATATCAGCTTGGATAACACATCCGGTTGTGCTCAACATGCTCTGCTGTGTAGAAGGTGTAGAGGATGGACTGGAATGTTAAACTCATCCCATAAGGCAGCGTACCTGCCCGTTGTGCTTGTGTGAGCTTGGAGTAGACGACGTCGGCCGACTCGATCAGTGTTCTGCTGGTTTGGATCATCTAGAAGACAAAAGAAGGCGTGCGCTTAATTTGCATCACATCTCAGCATCATACCCAGACAGACACTGGGGACCGTCAACGTAAAGTATAAGAAGGTTTGTGTTCAGAGAAGAGGGAAACACTTCATATAAATTGCTGAGAGGTGTTACCTTGTCCAATTGTTAGGCTATAACCTAACAGATTTGATCCCCTCAACAGCAAGTATTTGGGCTAAACACTTAACTTCTATGTTAGCAGGCACACTAACGCACCATTTTTAACCCAATCAGAGGAGCGTAGCTGTCATGTAACCTGTGTCATGTGCTCAGAGTTCCAGTACAAAAGTAAGCTAGATACAATTCACGTGAAAAGCTAAGCTATAAGCAGTCTGTTTAGTATTGCAGCCTTATAACTCCAGTGTTTAACTGTAAATATAGGCTTTCAAAAAGCAAGAGGGCTTAAAGATTTGCTTTCCAAACAAGCTTCTTCTGTGGCCTCTCAGCTAATACAGCGGATTATATAAACTGTACCCACACTCTCAAACCACCTCTGTCGTGGGGTGACTTATTATTCATTAGAGATGCAACAATTAGTCGATTAAATGGTAAGTCCATCAAAAGAAAAGTACATTTAGAGCTACTCAGACTCAAATTCCTTATGCAATATGTGTCAACATACTTGGCATAAACGGTTGGTTCTGTCTCTGAACATCTGCATTGAAATCACACATGTATTTGTTCCACACTGGTATCAAGAGTGGCAGAGGTGAAACTGCCTTATTATCACCTCTACTTTTGCATCTGACCAACGCTAGTTTGAGCCATAAACATCATCCCACGGGCTGAGGAGGAGCAGCTGGACCAGCCCTGCAGCACGGAGGAGGAAGCTAATGAATTTTCACACTCCTTGTCAGCAGGGAGACAGGAAGTGGACTCTCATACTGTGTGTGCATGTGCATGTGCATGCCTCTCCTTGTTTTGCTATCTTTATGAGAACTGGTATGAGTGCAAACTGTTTCGTAAAACAATGACCTCATTTTGGACAGTCCCTTCATTTAAGGGGACGGTTTAAGATAAGAAACGAAAGGAAAAATGTGATGCCTAATATATGAAGTATTTGATGACTCTACATTTCCAATAATATCTTCACCAACCCCCAAAAGTCCGTGAGCAGTGTGAGTTGTATGCGTAGGTGAGAATTGTATCGATAGTGAAAGTAAGTCTGAGAGCAAATCTTTCCAACAGCGGCAAGAAAGAGTCCTGAATGCAACATGACTTGAAGCCGCACTGCATTCTGGTCTTGAAAGTGGCACCTCGGCCTCTATTGTTGTAGATTTCTCTCTTCGTTGAGAGCTCTGAGTGAGACAACTTTTATTCACAAAGGGCATCCTATCTGACATTTTTGCACTCAATTCTTGGGTTATGTCCAAAAACAATTTTTGTGAAGTCACTGTGACTTTTGACCACCAAATTCTTCAGTTTTCAGTTCAACCTTGAGTCCAAATAGTTTGTGTGAAGGAGAACTCATAAACATAACTCCTCTGTCCACGGCTGTCGCTGGCGCAGAGGCATACAAATAATAAAAAAACACCATCAGTATGAACACAGAATTAATGGTAGTACACAATGCCTTCGTTGTGTTCAAGCATCTTGGGTCAATTTCTTCTTAATGGTGAGTGCAGTCAATGAAGGAGGACGTACAAATAAACGTACAGCTATGAGCTGGAGACAGAGTTCCAGTGTGCTTTGTCCAGCTGAGGGTTACAACGCTGACTGGCAGCGGCCCTCATGAGTGTGACTGAGGACACGGACCGTACACTGATATCCTACAGTTAATGGCCGGGTTTTGGCAGCCATGAAGTCACATGCGTTTACACACTCTCTCACACACACACACACACACACACACACACACACACACACATACAGAAAACACATTGGATCCTCTGTTCTTGAGCAGGGAGTGTGGCAACAGGCCGCCCTCTGGGAAGCAAACACAAACTCTCAGCTGACCAGACCAAGCATCAGGACAAGACCACAGGTTAATGTACGTACAACATGTTATTAGGTCCTCAGGCTATAATCACCTTTGAAAACTGCTAACCACTGGTGCTCTCTTGGGAATAACGGTTCCAAAAAGGTTCTTTCTGAAGGGCTGAGGGTCTTCCCAGAACCATTTACTTCTGCAAAACTTTGCTGTGAATGCGACGCATGAATAAAATTGCAAAAATTGCAACATTGTGTGAGTCTGTTATTTCTTACATTATAATTTCTGTATTTTAAATCACTTCTCTATGATAGCAAGCTAGACAGCTTTTTCAACTCACCTGATATTCGTGATTTGTGATTATCCCGATAATAGAAACTCACCCGATCAACGTATTCGAAGTGTTTTTCCTATCGTCCCATCGCTGCTCAAGAGGAACCTTTAGTGGGTTCTAGATGAAACCCTTGGAACATAAAAGAGTTCTCAGTAGAACCCCCCAGTTGGGTTTTTGCTAGCATCCTTAGAAGGTGGGGAGGACCTGGATAGATTCTCCAAAGAGGGTTCTGGGTGGAAGGATTCTCTGTACGACCTCTCATATAGGATTCTGGGTGGTTCACAGATGGCTCTAGGTATAACCCTTTATGTTGGGTTCTAGGTAGGACACTCTGAAAGGGTTCCAGGTGGAACCTTTATAAAAGGTCCTATTAGGAACCAAAAAGGTTTATTCTATGGGGACAAGCAAAAGAACCATATATGGTTCAGAGAAAGGGAGATGACATTTTTGGGTCATGACAAAAAATGTTTGATGTTAAAAGCCTGCGAATGAAAGTTCTCTGAACTCTGAAATATGGAGTCTGGGTCTGCTTTACTGCCTGTCCCCTAAAAAGTTTTTTTTTGTGGACTGGAGCGTGAGAGTTGCTCTGACAGTCTCAAACCTCCTGCCTGGTGCGAGGCCTCATAAAAGTCCAAGCAGATTCTATTTTGGAGCCGCTCGCTGCGTCGTTCCTGATGTCAGTGCACTCCTGTAGGTGTCAGCAGCAGGAGCGCAGACGACCTGAGCAGCCGTGGACGCAACAACCGTGTTCCTCGCTCATGACCCACTTCACCAGCTCCCCACCAAAGCCTCGCAGGAGGGAAGAGGAAGCAGCGGGTGATAACTAATTACAGACAGAGTCCTTCAACCCACCCCACCCCCATCCACCCACCCCCCCGGGCCGTGCCAATGTCAAGTGATGGAAAGTGCAGTGTTCTGAGGAGGCGGGATGGTGAGGGACACGTGAAATTATACAATGAGTATCTGCAGCTTGACAATCTCATCGTTTTAGCCATGTTCAGAGGCCTTGTAAAACACATCCAGCTGTGTGTCGATGCTTGAATCAAATGATGTGCAAACTAGCATTAAGGGAGGAAGCAAACCACCACTCCTCTCTGTTTATTGTTCCGTTTTACTTTTGTAAGTGCAGCACCCATGAAGATCTGCACAGAGCAGTTATGTTATCATACTTAAATGCCTGAGTGCTTTGACAATTTATCTTTCCCTGAAGTACATATTCAAAGAGAGGTTACGCACTGTAATAAGATTGTTATTGTCTCACATGAACACTGTATAAATATAAATATGCGCCTGTACTGAATTTGTAGTTTAATTTCTGACAACTGTTTGTTCAAAAGATTGCTCTAATGTGTAATGCCGTACTCAGTCGTTCACAACAGCAGTGTGAGCATTTCTGTTTGCCCGACAGCGTCGCGTGCGCTCGTTCGCGTGTGTGCAGGGTTCTTACCATGTCATAGGCGTTGAACACTTTGCGCAGCAGCTCAGGCACAGGACCCTGAGCCTCCATGGTGGGGTAGGTCTCGCTCAGGTCCACGGTTACCCTCAGTGACCGCTCGCTGTTCATCAGCCAGGTGGACACAGTCAGGATACACTGCTTCATGTTGGCCGCCGGGGTCAGGCCGCAGAGCTCCTTGAAGGACACCATGGCATTCTGGGAGAGAAAACAACCGCAATGAAGGATTTGGGTGTGAACACATAAAAAGGCATAGCTGAAAATAATCGACTGTATGCTGCATTTGTTACAATTTTGTTTTTATTTATTAAATGTTTCTAAAACACTCTGGGAAGAAGCATTAATCACCAGCATAATTAAATAAATACATCCTTGTGCTCTGAAGCTCTTAGCTGTCCCTACAGCACCAAAGTAACTAAAGCAACTAAGACAAATTAATGTACAGTTACGTGCTTGGCAAATGAGGTGATTGTAGTCCTGATTAAATGGCAAATATTGGAGCCACTTTATGCATACGACCTCGAGTGAGGAGATTTAATGAGCGGAATTGTGACACTCCCCTCAGGCCAGAAGCGAGATAAGATAACAGAGTGTTTGTCTTGGTGTCAGTAAAACTATCACGTTTCCATAACGTCAGTCTGCTCAGTCAACAGCCCAGAGGCTCGGGGGCCAAACGTCTGACCAGCCTGAAGGATATGTACATTCAGTCACTCGTCACTCTCTTTCTAAATTCCTCCTCCTCTTTGTTCGCCCTTTTCTTCACGTTTATCTTTCTTCTCATGCTGCAAATATCTAACGTAAAACTAGCAAAATTAAGTAATTACCAAAGCATTCTTCTCCTTACGATCGTGTTTCTACGTGGACCATCGACCATTTTAGCTCTCTGCTGCTATAGATAAATAAAGAAAGCCATTTAAACATGTCCTGTTTATTTAATCTAGTACTGTTAGCAAATCATTGTTTTCCATCAGGGGCAGATGTAACTCAGTTAGCGCAGTTCTGCCATCAATCACAAAGTTAGTGCTCCTCCTCTCCACATGTGTGGAGACACTGAACCCAACATTGCTCCAATTGTATGGGACGCGTCGACCAAATAAATGTAATGTGTCACAAAACAAAGTGACAAAATATGCCGATATCACTTGTCAAACCTTTCCGATAACTTCGGTTCGTACACCTTCAGTGATCTCCAAACAAAAACCTAAGTTGGCATGTTCTGAGATTTAGAACCAATACAAAAAACAGAACGTGGTTCTTGATTTACCGCCTAGTAAGGTTTCTGCACAGCCATCCTCTGATGCCTTATATCAACCTGAAATTGGTGAACAGTGTCGTTTTTTCTCTCCAATTTGATCCTTTGTTCAAACTCTCGCAATAGAATCGATGCAGTTTTTGAGCAGCCAGCCTGTTTTCTAGTCCACCGAAACCAGAGTTTCTGCACGTCCGGGTTCAAAGGCGTTGCAGCCCCAGCAACCAGGCAACTGCCTCTCACAGCATATCATTATTCTGTCAGCATGGGAATTTAAGCAACCAAACCAGGACCACTGTTTTTCACACGGCACCCCATTCGTTAACTTGGTTTTAACGCAGCCAAAAAAGGAGAGTTTGACAAAGCGAGGCGGGAGAAGAGAACGGGACAGAGAAAGAGAAGGAGTTCAAATGAGCAGTCTCAAAGGACCGCAAAGTGTTGAAAACTGAAGATCTTGTTATTTTATGTGACTTTTTATGCTTCCGTCTTGGCCAATACTTTTGAAAGAGATTCTGAATCTCGATGGGGAATATTCCTGATAAAATAAAGATAAATAAATAAAACCATAAATCATTCAAAACACAAGGCAGGTAAGAGAGCGTGAGAGAGAATAAGAGTGCCAGTGTTGTTACTTGGGAATCTGTCGACACACTCGGCACTCTGCCGTGTGGGAACCAGCTGTCTCCCTGGGCTAGACCTCAAGGAAAAATCCCCCCCCCCCAACCACCCCCTATCCCAGAGGATGTGCTGTCACTGCGGGGCCCGGCCTTTCTGTAGACGGAGAGGGTGGCCAGGGGACGCAGTCGAAATCTGCATGCTGTGCCTCAGCCACAGTTAACACCTCTTGGGCCATTGAGCACAGCCAGGGGAAGAAACACAACGGTGGAAGCGGGACTGGGGCGCTAGATTAAACCTGGTGTGTGAGAGCTAGAAGCATGTGTGTGACTGCATGTGTTTATGTCTCAGTGTGGTCTGAGTCACAGCTATTAGCATTCATTATGCTTTGTATTATGCCATGCATGTGTGCATGGGACCACATGCGTGAATGTTTTTTTCAGTAATTGTTGTGCAATAAAAGCTAAACTGTTTCCTCACCATGGTGCAAAAAACCACCAAAAAAAACACCAATGAGAGGCTGGGTTTTTAATTACTCCCTTCCCCCACTTTACTCCCCTTCTAACATTCCCCAAACGAGAGCTCTGTGTCCGGTTACAACACTGCCTATGTTTCTGTTTGTACCCCCCCGCCCCCCTCTCTCTCTTTCTTTCTGCTTCAATCTGTGTATATCTCCGCTTCTCTCTGGTCCACAGAATTGAGTGGTGGTCATTGTGCCTATGATTGCACACGCACACACACACACACACACACACACACACACACACACACACACACAC